GGGGGGGGAACTGCCCCTTCCAAAAATTTAAAAAAATTGTTTAAAAATATATTTAGTTATTTCATTTTGCTGATCTTCAAATTAATATTATAAAATATTTACTTTTTTTCTGTACTTTGAAAAGAAAGTTAATAATTATGCAAACAGTAATTTTATTAAACTGAGCTTGTAATATACATGAATAAATTTGTGAATGTAGAGTGTTACTGTGAATATTCCGTGTCAGATTCGTTTTAGTTATATTTTGCTTTTAAGTGTTATTTATGTAGAAATTGAACAGTTTATGCCTAAAATCAAGAGTCATAACACTCGACTTAACTGTCAAAAGGAAAGATTATTTCTCATTTATTATACACATATGATACATGTACTCAAATTTCAAAATATAAAACAAAATCCAAGCAGCTACAATATAATATTAAATTTATATACATATATTTTATTTATGAATTATGCATCAAATACATATTGTGAACAACACAGATTTTTAAGAAGTGAATTGTTAGTTCATGCATTTTGCTTTTCATACATATGTATTAAAATTAATATTATTTAAGCAAAGAATTTAAATTATTTAAGGGGGAAACTACTTCCATGTATTTAATGAAATTTCAATAATGATGACTCTACCTAAGAAAATTAAATGGAAAAATTCTGAAAATGTTTTACTTCTCAATGAAACAAAATAATTTACTTGCACATTTTCTTGAAAAGTTTGTTTGTCATGAATATTAACGCATCATTCAGAGATTGTCTCTAAGAAAAGGTTGTTTTAAGTGATAATTCTTGCTAGATGGGACCTATGAGAACATTCTGCACTTTTGGCTTGTTGTTTTAAAAGTGAAAATAGCTTTAAACTGTAACAACTTTGAATGGCTAACCCCCCGAACAGTGTTATGCGTGTGGTAGGGTGTGCCCATCCAATATTGAAAACAATAGAGATTAATTTGTGCAGAAAATGAAAAGAGTCACCTTAATTTTATTGAGAAAGAATTCTGACTATATTACTTGAATTTAATTTTATATAGATCACAAGTTTTTAAGTTCCCGTGTTATGGAGTGAGGGTACCCAAAAAAGATAAATATCCAAAAATGTGATGAAGTTACACAAAGGTATTTATATTGTAAGTTTTAAAAACATTTCGTGGAAACCTGTTCTTTCAACGATCTACGACACTTCTTTTCAGAGGTATATGTGCCGTGAGGTGTAAGTGGTGCGGTGTAATGCAAAGAGTATATACGTAATGATATAAAACGCTAACTTTTCCCACCACGTAATAATCTGCAAACATATTTCTTTCAGTTCATTGTGTTGTAGTACCGTAATTATTGCTGAGAGAGGGGGGTTATAGCTCACCTGAACATTTTCAAAGGGCCCGGATAGCCGTACGATAAAACTTTTATTTTCATCATCGGCAACAAGATTTGGGCCTAGTGGCCCGTTCCGCTCTCAAGAATCTCCATCTTGTGTGGGGTCTGCCTCTGGGTCGTTTCCCCTTTGGTTTTATTCGAGGATAGTCTTGGTAGCCGTTCTTGTGGCATTCTGGTTAGGTGTTCGAGCCAATTCTTCCTCGTTGAATCGATCTTCTCCAGTATGCTGGAGATCTGTAGTTCACCTCTGATGTCTTCATTTCCCTTATGATCTAGGAGTGTATATCCTGCTAATGGTCTCAGAAATCTCATATCTGCCGCTTCGATCTTTCTTCTGTCCGACCTATTGATTGTCCAATTTTCGCATCCATAAGTTAGCATTGGGACTACCATAGTTTTGTAAAATTTTAGATGGATGTCTTGTCTGGTCTTTTGTCTTAGTGCTCTGCGTATAGTACCGCACAATTTCTGGAATTTTTGGATCTTTATGTTTATATCCTTTTTGTCGCAGTATGAGATGTTAAATCCTAAATAAGTAAAGTAGTTTACTTGTTCAATACTTTTTCCTTTTATCACTACTTTACATCTGGGATTTTTTTCCTCTGGAATGCCATTGTTATCGTTTTAGAGGTTGATATCTTCAAGTTATAATTTTTCCCTGTTAACTCGAGGTAATGGGCAGCTCTCTGTAGGTCGTCTTCTGAACTACTACAAATGGCCTGGTCATCTGCAAATAGAATAGTGTTTAAAATTGTATTGCTTATTTTAAAATGTGTGGTTAGTTTACTTTGCCATTCTTGAATAATATTATCGATATATTCCTCTCTTAAAGGTCTATTTCCTTTCTTAAATATTGGGTGTATAATGGCTTTCTTTCATTCTTCTGGGATTAAATATGTATTCCAACATGTATTTAGTATATAGAGAAACCTTAGATTGATTTGCGAAGGTGCATACTTGAATAATTCTATATTAAGTCCATCGCTACCTGGACTTTTTTTGTTCTTTAAATTTATAAGTATACTTTTATTTTCGTAAACATATTAATTCCTTGATAATCCTTTTACTTTCTCGCAATCGCGGTATAGGGGTAGGTAATCTCTATTATGAAGGCTCCCACAGACCGGCGCGGAATGGCCGCAGAGGAAATTTCGTCTAACATGTTGCCACCTGAGCACGTTTAAAGCTACGCGCACCCTACGCGGCAGCGTTTTATTACCTGCGGATTTTGGAACGCAGCCGGACGCGTTACGACGGCTACCGATCGAGTTTCGGGGAAGTACGTTTGCCTTCGTGAGTTTTCGCTCCCCTCTGGGTTGAACTGGATGAGGAAAACTGTCACCAAACGCTGGGTCATAATTGATGCTCCGGTGTGAGCGGTCCTGCGGATTCCGCCGTCACGTCTAGCGAGAAACATTTACGCACCGCACCCGCTGCGGATCTCTCGCGCCTGCTTGCGAGAGTCTTTATGTAATGCTGTGCGGAAAAAGGCGAATTTTCGGCTGAAAAACTCTTATTACAGGGTCCTGGCAAAGAAAAAAGGATAAATCCAGATGCTAAATTTAGAAAAAATCCTCTAACACGTAGTGTAGCCAGTGTTTTAAAAAATCCATGTTTTGTGGGTCCTTGACACCGAAAAATCTATTGGCAAAACGTCTGTCTGACCGTCTGTGAACAATATTAGCGGCTAAACCGTTTAGCTGATTTTCTCCAAAATTGTTATTCCCCTCTATCTTGCTGATGTCGGGGCCCTTATAATTTGAAATCAATGTTTTAATTTTGTATGAAGACCCTGGGAAATCTTCAACTTTTTTTAAAAAAATGGCTCCATTGTTTTTGAGGAAATTTTGTTGTTAGTGTTTAAGAGATTGGTGCAAGTCCCATTTTCGTTGAAAACTAATTTTCTCGAAAATTGCAAAAATTCAAAATTTTTTCGGTGTCTTTCTACAACTACAATAATGAATATTTCGCTGTTTTCTGAATGAAATGTGTTCACGAAAAACATCAAAAAATATTGTCATGTTCAATATTTTAAAAACCATGAGTATTTTTTACGATTTTTTTCAAATAAGACCATGTTGAATTTTTTTAAAAAAATTGAGTATTTTTGGTGTAATTTGGCGACAAACATTGGTTTAACAAAAGTTTAAAGAAAAACATTGAAGCTGTTTTTGAGAAAATCTGGTTTTTGTACTTTTTTAAATTGCACAAATTTCACGCAATATTGCGTGAAAACTAGTAAAAGTTCCCCCAAAAATTAAATGACCTCAATGAAAGACGAATTGCCGACAACAAATTTCATTTGAAGTAAAAATCTCTATCTTCAATTTTGTAGTTGTAGGAAGACTCAGAAGAGAATTTAAACTTTTGAAATTTTCGAAAATTCAGAGTTAACCGTGAAAATCGGACTACTGCCACATTTATACGTGCATGTTACTTTATTCTTATAAGCAATTTAAAGGAAATATGGGGAGCCATTTTTGAGAAAATTTTGAAAATGTCCCAGAGGCTTCATGTAAAGTACCCTAAAAAACTAATGAATGATTTTCAAAATCGCAGAGCTTCGACACAGGCCAAAATGTTTATTGGTCTCTTCAATTTGGAAAGCATTCTAGGCATGATTTAGGCGCTAGTGTTGTTCGCATAGACTAGATGGACGGACGTTTTGAAAAACAAACAAACACTTCTTCGCTATCAGGGGACCCCAAAACGAGTATTTCCATTGAAATCTCGAAATCCATTTTCCGCAGCATTACATAACTTTCCCTCTACTACGTATATTACTCTATAAAGTAAAATGGAGAAAATAAATTACTTCCTCTAACCCGTGTAGTCAGAATCCATATTTTTTGGGTCCTTGATACCGAAATTTTGATTGACGGCAAAACGTCAAACGTCTGTCTGTCCGTTTTGTGGTGGAATATTTTTCAGCAGACCACCGTGGAGAACTGTGGATCTAGTGGATATTTGAGAAGTTCATTGTTGGCAATATGAATGGGAGACGGGGCCGGATATACCAATAAGTAAAACAAGCAGTTGCGTGTGTATATATATATGT